TGCATAATTCTGTCATCACATCACTATAATAATGAAACAAATGTTACAAGAAAGGACATAACAATTCACAGGTTCAAGAAACAGAATCAACAGATGCAACTAGAATATATATTTTAGAGAAAAAAAAAATTACAATTAACCCATATGATCTCACAGGGAAACCTGACTAAAGACTAGCTGGTATCCAAAAACAGAAAACGTAATGTGAATACTGACAAGGTTGACTTTGGGTGGAAAAAAAATTACGAGCCAAATTACGACCGCTTTATATATCCTGGGCAAATGAAAAATTGAAAAACAAATTGGACCCTTTTCAGGCCTTTGGCGCATTATGTATATAGCACTAGACAAATTTTGTACAAACCAACTGGCGCTCCATGGGTGTTCTGGCCAACATCAAGCCAGATGCCATCACTTTCCAGGACATTGTCTGCTCCCATTTTAGAGCTGGTCGACCTGGAAGCCAAGGTCAACTTTGAAAAACACCCTCCTTGATGTGGATTTGAACCCTAGACCTTCAAGTGAGCGTCTCTTGGTATATGGTCCTAGACCCAGCCAAACAAACCAGCACTGGACTGATGATGTGGTCGAGGTCACGGCACCCTAAGTTTGCTTTCCAGAACAAGTTTTGAAAGCCAGTTGTTCCGCTGTGGGCCCAGATCCCTTTGAGCTTATACCAACCAAGCATCCAGCCAGTGTTCTGCCAGATCTTCCACACCTGGTCATGAGTCAAAGTTCCAATATCCCTGAAGACTGGTTGCCCCATAACTGCCCCCGCCGTCCCAATTGAAAACTAGTGAGAAATGTGTCAGTCCCAGCAAAATCTTGAAGCATGCACAGCAAAGCAAAAATGCATAAGACAACTGTCAGATGTGCCAACACTAACGATCCCATATCAGAACTGCAGCTCACTGTTGTCACAAACAGTCAACCAACAAAGATCTTCAACATCTGTAGGTGCCTATCAATACAATACAAATGACCATACCATGGCTCAAAAGCCGCCTACACTCAGATGTAAAACAGGACTGGATTATTCATCATTTCCAACAAGATTGTTTCACAGCAAAAGGCTCACCACATGCAAACTGAAATTATTATTAGTATCTCATCTTCATCACCATTGTCTTGTTGTGCCAAAAGGCTCACAATCTGTTCTATCCGGTGCTATCAATTTAATATCATGGATGGAATCCACTCCAGCACCTCTGAGCTCTCTTGCTACAGAAACTAGCAGGAAAGTATCTTATCAAGCGAAGATTTAACACAAGTGCTTGGTATCTATTAACACTGAAATGATTGGTACCTGATATTTTCTTTCTGCAATCTGTTATCTGTAAGTTATGACTATGTATCTTTAGTAGAAAGTAAAATATATGTTTTTTAAGTTCAGGTCAAAATACTGGGTATTGGCAAAGTTACGACTGACATATTAGGTATCTGTAAATGAACACACAGAAGTACCAGGTATTTGTAAAGGTAATTGATTTACCGTGAATTACAGTAATTTAATACTGATAAATTAGTTTACCAGTAAATGACAATTAACTTACAGTAAGTCAATACAGAAATAACTGGAATCTGTGAAGTCAGGACTTACATTCTTGTAAATCGACTAGGTATTTGTAAGCGAAAAGTGAAATACCCAGTTTTTAAAAAGAAAATGGAAAGTGAAAAACTTTTTTGTAAGTTAAAGCTGAAACATTAGTTAAAAAAAAAATACAGGTATTTGGCGAAAATATCTAGCTTCTATTTAGTAAATGCATGTAGGTTTCAAAATGCTGAGGATAAAATATAATGTACAATTTACCACCCGACATATTTTGCTGTATCCCATCAGGAGCACACCACAGGATTTATATCAGCACACCATATGAATTCTTTCATTTTAAATACACAAATTACATAACCCATTGTTTGACAGTTTTACCATTGAAGTTTTAGACTTACCATATATTCCTTCTGTTTGCATATAGCAACGGCCTCAGTGTATTTCAATACCTGACAAGACAGCTAAATATATTAGGCAGTATACTGCACAGTATATTATGTTGGCATCATTTTAATTTACAAAGCAAAAAAAAAAACCTCCTCCCCCCCTCCCCCTGAAATGTGAAAAAGTTGCATTGCTGTACAGGCCAAAATGTCCCCTACTGAAGAATTTCAACAAAATTATGGTGAGGTAAAATGTACAACTTCCTCTTCTTCTCCTCCTCCTTTGGTCCTGTTCTGCCTTTCAATGTCTGATTCAGAGGAAGAATGTACAGCTGCCAAAACCAGCTACTTTTGTCATTTCTAAAATCTAAATATTATGTGCTGTCTCCACAACCACAGACAACCATCTGCGTCTTTAATTTTGAAAATAAAGATATCCTTTTTGGCATAGGAAAAGGCTTCCAACGCTAGTGCAAACAGCATATGCAGTTTCAAATCAAACAGTAAAATGAACGCATGCCAGCAACACAATACTGATCATATACAGGAACAATACAGAATTACCTCTGTTATACCTATGACTGGTAAACACTTTACACTTTGCCAGCAACAAAAATTTTGTTTAAAACAATATTTCACTCTATAATATATATTTATATTAATAAGCTCTTTTTAAGGCGACCCATGGTATTTTGTCAAAACTTTGCCTTCAATTTTCAAGCTTCTTCCTAACAAGCTATCAAGCTATTTGCACACACAGTGTGTGTGTGATTAACAATGCAATTTGGTGAAATAGTATTTTTTTTTAAATTACTCCCGACTTACATGTTGTAAAGCAATCCAACCATTACTCCTAGTAGTATTTATGTCATTTTCTAGGGAGGCAACGATAAATTCATTTAATTTATTCGGCTAAAATCTTCTAATTCTTTGTTTAAACAATTTTTTGAAGAAAAATTTACTGTTAATTACAAATCATCATTGTACACATAATACCACAAAAATGTCATGTGGTTGTGACCTGCTAGACCTTCCATACATTGCAAACTCACTTAACAGAAGAATTTAAATGTCCAATCTTGCTAGACAAATATGCCTTGCAACACAAATTAACACACATAAAAGGTAACAGAAAAAAAAAAAAGCAAATCAAAAATCTATATAATACTAGAATAGATGCAAGTTCAAATTCTCAAATAGATAATACTATTAATAACAAACTACATGTACACACAAAACTTGAGTTGCTGCTAGAATCATATGCGTAGATAAATGGGAGACCACTCTGAATACAAGAAATGAGTGCAGGAAAAGGAAACATACATGCATCGACATCAATATCTGTAAACGTGGCAAGATTCAGATTGTCAGTATCTCATGAGTACAAATTCAGCTCAACAAAGCCCTCCACCGTTCGCCTCAGACATGTAGTATACAATTAATCACCTAAAGTTTGCTCTGATCATGAGTACGCTCCTACAAAAAAATATTTAAAATAAATGCAATTTATGGCGACAGCAACGGTTTTTTTTTTCCACAGCTTTCAAGCCAACAATACACTTCTGCATGGTCTAGTCACGACTATACTACTTTTATAAAAGGAATCTCAATTTTGCAGTCAACGATAAAAAGATCAAAAGAGACATTCTGACCATTTTCTTTTTTTTTAAAATATGCTCACAGCATTATCTGGCAACAACTGCAAGGTTTGTTTAACCAATCTGAAGTCCAAATGTGCCGCTTTTCAAAATAGTGAAAGCATTCTACTACTGTGGCGGAGATTTGACAGCCAACAAACATTACTTAGCAATCTCACACACAGTCTATATCTGCAACAAAATTCCCATAATCAAATGGTGTTTCACAAAATTTATCAGTTCCATGACAAATTTTAACATGGAAAACAAAATAACAAATCCCAAAGGTTTCTCTGAGCTGTAAATAATTCTGGATAAAAATGTTAATCCATGCCATGATAATTAAGTGTCTCTTTTTTTTTTAGTCCTCCAGTCTTGCTACAATTTTCCGGCTGTCACATCTTCAAATTTACTTCTACTTATGACTATCTAAAGAGTATAAATAACCCACAACTGATATAAATGTACAGACACTTATTAAAGTCTTGTGTGCTGCCAATCATTTTAGATACAGATGTTACTGCATGCCAAAATATCTAGTATCTCCCTTGCTTTCCAACTGACCACTGTTAAATGTTCAAGCTCACCCCACATCGTGATTGTCTAAACAATATTGATTACCTACAGCTGGTATACTCATTTTTTTGGGGGGAACTAAACCACTTTGTCTTCAAAAGTTTGAAAACGATACAAATTAAAGGTGCTATAAACTGTTTAAAATAAATACATAGGGGTTTTCAGGTATTAAATATATGTATGTGTAGTTATTTGAAAGGTGGCATCTACCTCCCCATCTGTACATTTAGTTATGTGAAAGGCAACATTTGTAAGTGTGTAGTAATGTGAAAGGCTATATCTAATTCACCATCTGTATGTGTGTAGTAATGTGAAAGGCTATATCTAATTCACCATCTGTATGTGTGTAGTAATGTGAAAGGCTATATCTAATTCACCATCTGTATGTGTGTAGTAATGCAAAAGGCTATATCTACATCACCATCTGTATGTGTGTAGTGTTGCAAAAGGCTATATCTACATCACCATCTGTATGTGTGTAGTAATGCAAAAGGCTATATCTACATCACCATCTGTATGTGGTAATGCGAAATGCTATATCTACATCACCATCTGTTTGTGTGTAGTAATGCGAAAGGGTATATCTACATCACCATTTGTATGTGCGTAGTAATGCAAAAGGTTTACATTTACGTTACCATCTGTATGTGTGTAGTAATGGAAAAAGTAACATCTACCTTACTATTTCTGCTACCTAACAGCAACTGTGTCTGTTGGACTTGTTCCACAGCTGTCATAACCTATCTGAACTGTGTGAACGAAAGCCACCTCTCCATGCAACACAGGGTCTCAACGAAGGTGGCCTTTAGAATCACAAGCACATGCACACTGCTAAACACGTGACCCCCACATTTACATAGACTCAAACTCATCTACTCTCTGCTTGGTGTTGCCCTGCCTGATCTGCTTCAGAGTCTTGTACTTGTCTCGGCCCAGGCGCATGTTTTCCTCGTGCAACTTATCATTGATATCTTTGGCTGTCTTCTGTGCATCCAGGTCATCCTTCAGACTCTAGCAAAGGAAAGATAAGGATAAAAAGTTAGAAAGATGACAGATTTTAAAAAATGCACCTTTACAAATATCAAAGATAGGAAAGGGAAGGACACAGCAAAGAAATGGATCAGATCAACGGATAGCCTTTTATTAAGGTTGACGGCAATGAATCTCCAACTTTTCTGTCTCTTTCCATGTTGCTACAGTCTCAGATCCTCTTTCTAGACCATTTCCTAATGTTATCAATCTAAAGAAACCATTGCCTTGCACCTTTGCATTCGTCACTGTAACATTTTGTTTATTATAAACGGTAAAGCTACTGACACATGGTCTACTACACTTAATTGGTGGTGGTAGTTGGGGGGGGCCATAAACAAACTGACCCTAGCAAACATGTCATAAAAGGTGACAAATAAGAAATTTCTCTTTAGAATCGGAGTACATCTGCCTGAAAAGCCAGGAACCAACAGTCGGTATACACGTTATCTGTAAAATTGATGTACATACAAAACGCAAGTTCTGGATCAAGAAGAAGGTCCAGAAGTGGACCAAGAACCAGAAGTTTCCGCCAGAGTTGACAGCAGGTGAACGCTAAGAAGAGGAGGGAAGACAGCAGAGCATACAATGAATATTCCACACATTGATTTACCTTCAGCTGATCTTGGAGATACTTATGCTGGCTCTGGTGGGTCTCTCTGGATTCCTCAGGTCTAGGCATGGACAATGAGTTTTCATCTACAGTAAGCCCAGCATCTGGATGGAGTTGAACGACACAGCTTTAAATATCATTAGCACTACGCCAAAGTCATCTAAGTGCGTTTTTTAGGGCTGTCACGTCACATTATGTTATAATATAACAAAGACACACATGTGAATTCCCATTTCAAATATCTCACAATGAAGTATCACTTTGCACACAACTATACAATGTTTATTTACCATAATGTGATTTTCAAAACAATGTTTCTGCATTGTAAATTTACATAATGCAGACATAATATACACTGCCTGGCATTTTCCCCTGTATCTTGTCAGGCGATACTAGAGCTGAATCAACATATAATGAAGCACACAAAAATGAATCCTTGATGCTGAAATACATAAATCGCACTGTTGCGTTGGGCTGTACATCTCTCCACCTGAAATTCAGCCTTGTGACTGCCATGGTAGATTCAAATTTATCACATGATCTTTTTGTTTACACAAAACAGGAGAGTCTATTCAATTATGAAGGCATGATCCACATCAACTACGTGTCCAGTCAAAACAAATGACATCTTAAACAAGAATTTGTTTCTCTCTTCTTGGCTGATCCTGAAACAGGATCTCCATTTAGCTGTGTGTGCCGCCATCCAGGGATATGCTCTGCCACTCTGTTCTAAATTTATGTTTGACAGATGTCAGTAAACTGGCACTTATTTGTCGATTTAACTCTAGAATTGCACCTGACGAGATACATGGAATATGTCAGGAAATAAACGGTGCACTGTATTGTTTGCGTCCACATTATTTAATTTTACAATTTCTCAGATATATCTCAGTGTTAAAATGTGATTTTCTCAGAACACAGATTTAAGCACTTAGGTGACTCTGGCGTACTGCCAACGATATGTGCGCAAATATAAACTCAAACAACACCTCTGACGGCCAGAAACTGAAGGACATGAGGAGGAGAAGGGAGGAGAGTAAATTGTATGTCATGGACACAATGGCAGGTATACAGGTCTTGAAATAAAAAAAGGTCTTGAAGGTTAGGTTAGGTTGCGAGAGTTATGAGTTAGATTATCTTCACAGCGCTCAGATTCCCCTCTCAACATATTCATCAGCGCAGTGCGGTTAATAGTACCAGTCCTATGTTGGTTAACAAGACTTCATGTACGTCCAGTGTGCTTCTCATGCTTGGCTGTGCCGATCTTTACTCCCAATTCGCGCATTCTTAGCAGTGATGTGGACACATTGCTTCCAAAATCCTCAGAACGTCCTATCTCTCTAAGGGCATTGACAATGTCTGCGTGGTCCATGGGCCGGCCATCTTCAATTAATCCAGCACCTGCCAGTCTATCAGCTCTTTCATTACCAACAACGCCTGCATGCCCTAGGACGAATATGAAAGTAACTGCACGCACAAAAGAATTTTGCAACGACTAATGTCACTGTCTGCGTAACCAGCCTGCCTCGACCCGCCGGATCATGCTCAAAGAATCACTCAGCACACACACACAGGAATAGTCCTGTGATCCCAGTTACATGAAAGCCTGTGTCACCGCCATCACCTCCATCGTCCTGCTGCTGGTGGTCATGGAGAAGGCACCGCTGGCTTCCTTAACAGTTCTGCCTGAAGAGCGAGCTGAAAATGCCCATGCATTCTTATGTCCTCATATAACGGACCCTCTGTGAAGATCAACACATATGTCTTATCTGAATTGTCACTGATAAGCGCGCACACCTCGGCATTGACAGCAGCTGGAGTCTGCTCCCGACAATTCCTATCGAGTGTCACAACACAGGAGAATGTGAGACTGGGCGCTTTAGACTGGTATCCACTCCTACCTGGAAGGATGTCTGTAAGGCTGCAAACCTGCATGATGTCATCCTCTGCCCTACCTAGCCATGATTTGCTCCTTTTAAGCCTATTGCCCCCTTTCTTGAAGAGCATGTGGTCCAAATGGTGCTTCAGATCTGAACTTATCTTGAGGTATGCACGGGCCCTCCAGATCTTGATCCTGTAGTTCATGGTAGGAAGTCAAGAAAATACCTCATTGCTACGCAAGAGGTGTCTCCAGTGCACCCTAGAATAATGAGCATTGCTTGATTTTGCACCTTCTCAAGTCTTTCAATCTGAGTATGGCTGACAGTGAGGATGGCAAGAGCATATTCGATGAGAGAAAGTACAAGTCCCTGGAACAGAAGCAGAAGCAGTCTCTGCTTAGTGTTAGCGGCAGCCAAGACCTCCATTGCTGACAGGCCTTTGCATGCTTTTGTTATGACATGGTCAACATGTTCTTTGAAAGATAGGCTGCGATCAAACCTCACCCTAAGGTATGTCATCTGATTTGCTCTTGTCAAAATTTCCTCACTGCTTTCCACTGCTGGTAAGTCTGCCTTAACTATATGCGTGTTCAAGGAGAACCATGTTACTAAGGCTGCGTATCCTTTACAGGACGTTGCAGAACCAACCCCATTTAAACATTTTCCTAAGCAAATTTACGTCTAGTAGTTTGCCTTGCTTTCTGGATGGTCGGCTTCTTTGATACCACTGTCGAAACCAACGCAAGGCGCATGGCCCACATTTGGGATCGAACCTGACATCCCAGGTCTTGAAGACCGGATTAAAAAAGGTAAACAGAAATTAGCTGAAATAGTTCAGCCACATTAAAAGGTATAATAACACCCATACAAATATTGTCAGCAAAAGCTTAAATCGGATTTAAAAACTGGCAAACAGTGATGCAAGTGGAACGATAACATCAAGAGATGAACACATAGCCCAACAGATGACAACCGGGGAAAGAGGTAAAGTGATGGAAATTCAAAGTGAACAATCTTTATTGTGGCAGTATTTAAATTACCCTGTAGGGCTGCACTACAAAGATAAAATGCGGGAACCTGTCGATGGCTATTGCGAAAGGAGAGACAGTATGTTCTGGAATTCCAGAGTGCAGTGGTGACTATTCTTGATTCCTCAGGATTGACAAAACAGTGCAACATTAATTCATTTCAAAATGATTTAAATGTACATAAAACTTACCAAACTCTTTGGTATCATCACCCTCATTCTCCTCGCCTTCATCATGCTGGTCATTCATCTCTGAACGCACCAGCAGTTGAGCCTGCAGCTCCTGCTCTCGCTGCTGACTGTGGGTCAAGACACGGCTCAGCTCAGACTCCTTCTCTTCGGCACTTTTCCTGGCATTCTCCAGTTCCACATGCAAAGTAGACATCTCATTCTCTTTGGCTTCAATGTCATACAGCCTTTCCTGGAGGGAAGACTGGGCGGCTTCTAGTTCTGCTGCCTGATGAGCACACAAAAATGACAAAAACCATATTTGATCTGACACAGATATTATGTGCGGTGAATTTAAAAACAAAATGGCCAAAAATATTCGGACAACCACCAGTTGTTAAAGTTTTAAAAGAAATAAATTAATACACTGGACACATTATGAGACAAGGACACAGCAGGTACTGAAATGGTGTAAATGGGTTGAAGAAGCAGGGATGTCCAAGAAAAACCCTACGACATACACTAATGAGAATGGCCAGAAGTACCAGACTGAAATCTATAAATGTTAGTAAAAAGATTGTACAGGTCAGAACAGAGAAATCGACTGTAAGCCCTAAGTGACATAAATGGCACAACAAGATGATGATCATATCACAGACAGATGTGGCAGCGATGCAGCTGGTGCCCTCACTAGCATTGGACTTGAATTTAAAATATTTACTTACAGTATGATTAAGTTGGTTTCTAACGTGTGTGTCTCCTAGAATGAGAATTGCTAAATATTGTGCATACTCAATTGGGCAATTGGCAAAGCAACTTGGGCAAAGAACTAGCAACTATAGATGAACTGAAGAATCACGGACGTAAAAAAAAAAAAATGTATTTCATGGAAACAACAAGAAAGAAACACAGTGAATCTGGAGAAACTAAGAACAAAACAGAGAGCAGCTAACAGATGGGACAAGGGAATTATTTCTGCCACTTTAAAGCTCTCTTATAAAAACAATATATGCAAAGGGAAAAACTGAAGGCAAGCCAGAATAAAAGTATACCAGTTTATAAGTTGGTGAGAGATAGTGTACTGTGTTGGGCATACATAAACATTAATTGTATAGACAGCACCTCACTGACTGATGAGGATTGCTCTTAAGTGGACACACCAACATAGATTATGAGATATTACCAAACAGGTGAGTACACAAATACATACCAATCTTTGCCGTTCAGAAAGTTCCATCTCCTTTGAACATTCTATTTCCCTTTGCAGTTCTGCAGCCTTGAGCCGCTCCCTCTCTAGGTCTTCACGCAAAGCAGTGAGTTCACAAACTTTCTCATCACGTTCTCGAACCATGATTTGCAAGTCCTCCAGCTCTATTAGTGATATAAATACAAGCAAATGAGTTGTTCAAACAATAAACAATTTGTTCAAGGTTCTCATTCTGTTCTTGAATTATGAGTTTCAAGCAAATGATGCAAATTCTATCACAGGAGCTATAAGCAAAGAAATGCATGAACAATATACACTTTCCAATTCTATTGAAGGAGCAGCCACAAGCAAAAAAGATGCACAAACAATGTTAAGTCTATCAACTCTATCGAAGGACTAATCACTAGCAAAAGATGTATGAACAATGTATGTCTATCAACTCCATCGATGAAGCAACCACTAGCAAAAGATGCACGAACAATGCAAATCTTCCAGCTTACAAGAGATAAGAACTCTTTGTCAGTTAATGAGGGAGAAGACAAAATAGCAATGTCCCAGTCGCTATATATCAGTTCTGGATTTCCCTGGCGTCAAATTTTTTAATCAAACTGCATCATTTCAAACTTCCCTCATTATCTTCTTTTGTACTTTGCGGCATCAAGCTGAAGTGTAAACTGTAGGAGAAAGCCAGTTTGTCTGCTTCATAAGTGGGAGATCATAGGGACTTTCCTTTAATGACAGAGATTTCTGTCTATTTATTGTCAATATTGGAACATTCAGGAATTCCCTTCCTATTCAGCAGTTTACTTTTGGAAATACTCTGAAATAAAGACATAAGTTACTACAAAACATCTACACTGTCATTTGAATCCAAGTGTCAGTAAATCAAGTAAATGAAGGAAAAAGTCACCTCTAATTCTTCTCTTCTGCTCCTCTTCCATTATTCGAACTTTTTCTTCTAAATCCTTCCTCAGTCTGTCAGATTCCTCACGCTCCATTCGCATGCGAGCCAACTGAGCCCTAGAAAAGAGAATATAAATTTCAGCCAGAAGGAAAAAATAAATTTAAAAAAACACACTAAGGAGTGGGGGTAAAGGGGGGGGGGGGGGGGGGGCGCACAGAAAAAGGGAGAAGGGGGGGGGGGAGGAATTCTGGAATGACATCATCAAGAAATAGGCAGGATTAAACTACTTTATACTTGTTCAACAGGCGGAAGGCAGAGAATGATGGCATGTTTTGTGTGCCAGTGCTGCCATCAATACACCTCCACCACCCTTACAGGTCAAGGGTTATGATATACTGAGTGGTCAAAAAGTTGAATAGTCACGGGCCAGAGGCCTGGGTCACATAATTTCACTGCATTGGCAATCATCCAAAAGCCTACAGTTGAAAAGCCATGAACTGCACAGAAATATCCATTTGTTTTTTTTTTTAAACCCCTTCCAACTACCTTAGATATATATTGGATACATGGATTTTCTGTGTACAATTTTCAGGTGTTCGTCTTTATTTCTCTGCGCCTGTTCTTGATGCCACTGCCATATCTTGTGTGCACTCTTGTCCCTTGCGCATGCTCTTTATATTTCATCAATGTGGCTGGTATCACAGCATTCTTGTCAAGCTGTCTACCATTTAGTAATGTTTTAATGAATGATTACCCAAAAAAAAAAAATATTTTTCTTCTTTTTCTTCTTAAATTCACTCGACTATCAAGGGTGTACTGAGCACACAAGGTACTTCATTTGTGCCACAATGTGTTTGTTATACCAGCACAGTGTAGCATTTCCTTTGTCGGTCCTCTCACAGCTCTGAGCTTTTTTATACTCAAGGAGATATAGTGTTTGAAATTTTTTTTTAGGGCTTGGTGGTAGAGGGCAGCAAACTGAAGTCCTGTCTGTTCTGGACCTGGTACCTGAGAGGGTTAGGGGAGAGAGAGAGAGTCATGAAGAGAGAGGAAGACACATGCTGAGGTAGGCTGGGAGAGACAGTGTAAAGATGGACAGATGAAGGTAGAGAAAAGAAGGAAAAGAAGTCTGGGGAAGGAGGAAAAAATGAGAGGGAGGGATGGAGACATGATGAGGAAAAGTGGGGAAGGGACAGCGAAAGACAGAGAGGGAGACAAATACAGAAAGAGGGAATGCAGATTCAGAGATGGGCAGATGAAAAGAGAAGGAAAATGGGAACGAAACAGAGATATGGAAGGAGGAAAATATGACAAAGAGTTGAAAGAAGGGAGACAGAGGGAGAGAGAACGGACAGGGTGAGAAGCAGATGCAAGCAGAGAGAGATGTAGACATAAAGGAGAGAGAGACAAAGGGACAGCACAGAGAGGCAAGCAGACAGAGGGAGAGAACCAAAGAAAGAAAAAAGGCAGAGCAGGAGAATGGGAGGGAGGTATACAAAGAGGAAGTGATGAAGGGAGGCAAACAGACATAAAGCAAGAGAGAGAGAGAGAGAGAGGTGGGTAAGGAAGGCAGTGACAAACACAGATTAAGAGAGAGGGGCAGGAAGGGAGACAAGATACATCAAAGAAAAAAAAAACAGCCACCTACCCCCCCCCCCCCCCCCCCCAATTTCAAGTGTAGTGGACACAACCACTAGGAAAAGATAGTTATGGGGCAAAAAAATACATAGATGAACCAGTAAAAAAATAGGGGGGGGGGGGGGAGTGAGAGAGGGGAGCGGGTAAGGAAATCTAGAGAAAATGAAAAGACAGGATGGAGAGGAGACAAAGAAGAGATGGGACAGGAGAAAGGGCAAAGAAAGGAAGAGAGGAAGAATGGAGAGAGAAAGGAGAATAGTAGAAGATCAAAGGAAAGAGAAGGGGTGAGAGAAGAAAGGTAAGACACAGTTGTGGGGGTGGGGGGAGGGGGGGGGGGGGTAAGAACAATGAGTGCCAAAAATAGAATTAGGAAATCTCTAAGTGAGGCCACTTTTCCGGTTCCTACCCTCTCCCAATGTGAATGTGGCCGTGGTCCAAAAACAACAGTGTAACCCCTACTGCCCCTTGCTTGTCCTATCTGTGTGTGACAACAATAATTCAATTTCTTACACTTAAGGCTGGTGACCTGAGAGCCAAGGTCATTTTATGAAGAAAATAAAAGTCCAGGGGATCCCAACCCACCACTGGTGAAAAATAGAGAAGTTTACCCACACACATAAATAGGTCAGACACATAAATAGGTCAGGGCAGCAGTGGACTTCCTTTTATTTCTGGTTTTCCATTTACAGAAAGGAGGGGAGAGAGGAGGTGGTGGAAAGTGGTGTAGAAGGCTGAGGTGGTAAGGGCGAGACAGAGGAGGTGAGAGAATAAAGTTTAAGAAAATAAAGTGGGAATGAGACAGGGAGAGAAAGAAGGAAGTAAGAAAAAAGATGAGATATAGAGGGAAGAAGGTAGCAGGAAGGGGTGCACTCCCTCACCTAGGTGTCATCAATGTGGGAGGAGAAAAGGGGGGGGGGGGGGGGGGTGACGGCAAATGTGTTTTTAAAAGTACACATATATTTAATGTGTGGGAGGGGGGAATGGTGGACATGAAATGTTCTGCACTAGGCAACACATAAACTTCTACGCCAACTGAAAGTATGGAGAAAGAAAGAGAGAGAGAGAGGGAGGGAGTGAGGGAGAGTGGCAAATACAAAGAGAAAGAGAGAGAGGAAAGCAGTGACACAGACAGGCAGAGAGTGAGGAACAGGTAGGACAAAATGTGAGGGGGCGGGAAGGGAGATGGACAGAGATTAAGGCCGCTAGGAAAACAAATACATCAAAAGAAAATATCCACCATGTTCACACAGAATGCCCCCCCCCCCCCCCCCCCAATACAACTTCCTGTGTACTTGAGTTGCTAGGAAGAGTTATGGAGCCGCACATTTACTAAACATTTAAACAAGAAATAAAATAGAAAAAAGGGGGAGGGGGACAGGAAATGAGAGAGTAAAAGGAAAGATAGAGAGAAAGAGAAGAAGATGAAGATCAGAAGGGAGGGTTAGAGACAATGCAGGAGACGGGAAGGAAGAAGCAATAGGTAGAAGAGTGAAAGAGGGAGGAAAGAGAGAGAGAGGGGTGAGACAACAGAAGAGGGAATCTCGGGGGAATTACAATACTGATCGCCAAACACACTGTAAAGATAAATCCAGGCCAAAAATAGAACTGGAAAATCCAGCGGCAGTCACTTTGCTTAGCCCCAATGCCATCTCTAATTAATAGAGAAGGCCGTGCTTAGCATGCTTAGCCCCCACCACGGCGACTCTATTTATAAATACAACTGAACCGAGCCCCACCATCTCCCAATGTAATCCTTTCTAGAAACCATGGCCATAAACGATTTATACTGTTCATTCTGCCCGACTTGCTAGAAACAAAGGCACACACACACACTCGAGACGGAAGCTGATACTTCCCGCCCCATGCCACACCGCTGCTGTCTGCATGTATTCATGATCTGCAACACAGCCCGCCCTCCCCTGGCCTTTAACAAGCCATTTCGGCTGAAAATAGCCAATAATCAGCTGCCCTCACACCTGAAACGACCATTCAACGAAAGTAGCCAAAAACTAGCCAAATGGCCAAAAAAGCCAAATGGCTCCCCCAAAATTGCCTGTGCTGAAAAACACAGGATTTCTGACGATTTCATTTCCGCGGTCAAAATTCACACGGCTTTTCAAGGTCGAAATGTCTTTTATAAGCTAAAAATCACGGTTCAAGGTCAACGAAAAAAATCCCGGTAATTTCCCGATTTCCCGGCCCACTACGAACCCTGATGCATATTCATTTAACACATCTGTATGCAGACTGTTGATTCCTCACCCTTTAGGTGGCGGTTTCTCACCTTTTAGATGACGTCAAAGAAAACACCAATAATTAGTCATCTTTTACCATAAACTTGGTAGGAGACAATGGGTCTATGAGTTTCAAGCAATAAACGACGAGTCGATGGCTCTTTTCATGAATCTCAACAATCACATATAGTGTTCTTGGATGTTGACATTTAGTCAGAGAATGCTTGTGGGATCTAGCTTCCTATGTCACTGTGCATATTTCCGAATAAAAGTTATACAGTGGTTATTGCACCCCATGAAAATATATGCAAAAAACCTTCTCGGATCCACAAAATTAAATCATATTTGACTGGCTGACATATTACCTTTCTTGCTGCTTTGCCAACTTGTCCTCCCTGGCCTGAGCTTTCATCTGTTGAACTTCGATGGTGTCTGGTTTTCTTCGTCTCATATAAAGCTCGTGGTTGCCCATACATAAAGCCAGGATACGTTTGTTGATCCGTAAACGAGGAGCGTAGAAAACAAAGTCCTGCAATGTTTGCAAACAAATCAGCAGGTTCTAACTGTCCCACAACAAACAAACAATTCAGTGTAAAAATTAAAAAAAAACAAAAAAACTTTTACCTTAAAGTATAATGCATACGAAAACAAGCGGCCTTTTGTTCATGTTGCAATAGGCACCAGCTGTATGGGAACTCTATGCTGGTTACATAATCTGTTCAGAAAGCAATAGCAAACTATTGAACATAAATCTGCCCAATAAAAGCAGATCACAACCAACAAACGCCCGTGTGTCACCGGGGCCCTCACGGGAAGCAAAGAATAGTGACACTGCACCCTACCAGGCATGTCGTAAAAGGCGACTAAGGGTAGGGTTGGGCGTGAGGTTGGCTACCTCATCCTGTAAAAACCATAGCCACAAAAACCAACCAACCATGGATAAGTCAAAAAGAGAAGCAAATAAACTCCAGCCAACCAAGATGAGGGGAGGCTCTTCAAATAGAAGAAGTATGACACGGTGTGGAGAAAGCCGTAAGGAGTCCGGATCGTTGACTTACCTCCTCTCAGCTAGGAAAACCTCCAGAATTGGCACCTGGAATGTTAGAACTCTCTATGATATAGGGAGAACAATGGAAGTAGCAAAGGAAATGAAACATTATAGAATTAGTATTTTGGGGTTATGTGAAACTAGATGGACTGGGACAGGGAAAAGTATTCTCAATTCAGGAGAAACTATTTTGTTCTCAGGACACACAGAGGAAAATTCGCCGCACAGTGAAGGAGTGGCCCTGATGCTATCAAAAGAAGCAGACAGAGCACTAATAGAATGGGAAGCTGTGAGTCCCAGAATAATAAGAGCATCTTTTAGAACAGTAAAACAGAAGGTGAACATGTCGGTAATACAGTGTTATGCACCAACAAATGATAAAGATGCATCTGTTAAGGAAGAATTTTACATGCAGCTTCAGAATATTATAAATAATGAAAGAAAGGGCAACTTAAAAATTTTGATGGGTGACTTGAATGCTAAGATAGGATCAGACAACACAGGTTATGAAGAAATTATGGGGAGACATGGTCTAGGAGAAATGAATGAAAATGGAGAATTGTTCACAAATTTTTGTGCAGGTAACCAGTATGTTATTGGTGGAAGTATTTTTCCCCATAAAAGAATACACAAGGCAACATGGGAATCACCAGACCATAAGACAACTAATCAAATTGACCACATATGTATTAACAAAAAGTTTAGATCATCCCTTTACGATGTTAGGGCTTTCAGAGGTGCCGATGTATTTACTGACCATTTCCTGGTGATAAGTAAAATCAAGTTGAAACTAAAAAGATATATAACATCTTATAATCATAGAAACCAATATAATGTAGGCTTTCTCAGAAATAAAGAAATTAAGGAACAGTTCTCAGTCACGGTCTCTAATAAGTACCAGGTGTTGCAGCAGTTAGCTGAAGATGTCAACACAGAAGTCTGCTGGGATCAGATCAAAGGAATCTGGAATGAATCTTGCGTAGAAGTTCTTGGCAAGAAAGAAAGGAAACATAAAGCATGGATAACACCAGAAACCATTAAACTGATTGAAGACAGGAAAAGTAAAAAGGCAGAATTAAACAATAGCAAAACTAGAGCTGCTAAAGCTAGAGCTCAGGAGAATTACACAGAAGCCAACAAGGAAGTTAGGAGGCATATAAGGGCAGATAAAGTGAAATATCTAAATGATCTAGCACAAGAAGCGGAGACAGCAGCAGCAAAAGGTAACCTCAGAGAACTTTACAGCAACACAAGAAAATTAGTAGGTAAATATAGTCAGCCAACTGGATCAATCAAAAATAGTCAAGGAAAGGTACTTACTAACACTAAAGATCAAATGGACAGATGGGTTGAATATTTTGAAATGCTTCTAAATAGACCAGGCCCAGAGGTTCCCCCAGATATCCAGCCTTTAGAAATGGAACTGAATATCAACTGTGAGATACCATCCAAAGAGGAAATTAGAAAAGCTATAAATCTTCTTAAGGAAGGAAAGGCGTCAGGCCCAGATGGTATCCCAGCTGAAGCCATCAGGACCAACATAAACACATCAACAGAATTGCTACATAGATTATTCAGTAAAGTCTGGGAGACCGAAGAAATACCAACAGACTGGAGGGAAGGATATCTTGTGAAACTGCCAAAAAAGGTGATCTACAGGAGTGTGAAAACTATAGAGGAATTATGTTGCTGTCAGTTCCTGGAAAAATATTAAGTAGAATTATTTTGGAAAGATTAAAAGATGCTATTGATAAAATGCTAAGAGATGAGCAGGCGGGTTTTCGGTCCAACAGATCCTGTACTGATCAGATAGCCACATTACGTATTATAATAGAGCAAAGCATTGAACTGAACTCACCACTTTACATTGGATTTATAGACTATGAAAAAGCATTTGACAGCATTGATAGGGAATCTCTCTGGAAATTGATGGGGCACTATGGAATCCCACAGAAAATTATCAACTTATTAAAGGCAACATATAAAGACATGAAATGTCGAGTTCTTCATGAGGGAAAGCTAACAGATGCATTTGAAATAAAAACAGGTGTGCGACAGGGATGTCTTTTGTCGCCTCTCCTATTTTTACTGGCTATAGACTGGACTATGAAAACAGTAACTGCTAACACCAAGAATGGAATTCAGTGGACCCCTACAAAACAGCTTGATGATCTGGACTTCGCTGATGATATTGCCCTTCTGTCCCATTCACGGAATCAGATACAAGATAAATTAAATATACTTAATGCGAGATCACAGCAGCTTGGTCTGAAAATCCATAAAGGAAAGACAAAGATAATGAGAATAAATCAGGCAAATAGTAATGTGGTTTCTCTTGATGGCACCCCACTCCAAGACGTGGAGTCGTACACCTATTTGGGCAGTAATGTAGATAAAGATGGAGGAACTGATAGAGATATTAAAATAAGAATACAAAAGGCAAGAGGGGCTTTCATAGCACTAGGGAATTTGTGGAGGTCAAAAGAAATTAAAAGAAATACTAAACTAAAAATTTTTAATTCTAATGTCAAATCAGTACTATTGTATGGGGCGGAAACATGGAGAACAACGAAGGCAATTACTAATAAATTACAGACATTCATTAACTGGTGCCTGCGCAGAATAGAGGGAATAAAATGGTATGATAGAATAACTAATGTAGAACTTTGGGAGAGAACTAAACAGGCTCCAGTGGATCAGGAGGTGAGGAAAAGACGCTGGCGTTGGATAGGGCACACACTGAGAAAACAGGAGAACAGCATAACTAGAATGTCTTTGCATTGGAACCCACAGGGGCATAGGAATAAAGGAAGGCAAAAAAACACATGGAGAAGAGAGCTGGAGAATGAGGTTAGAAAGATTGGGAGGATATGGGGAGAGCTCCATGTAATGGCGAAGGATAGAACGACTTGGCGTGAGTTGGTTGAGGGCCTATGCTCCATTGGGGGATAAAAAGGCAGAAGAAGAAGACAACCAACAAATGCTGAGATTAGTCTCTCCTTTAATGGATACGCCAATAAATTGTATTTGTTATATTTATAAAATTACTCTTTCAGTACCTAGCATTGTAACATGCATGATCCTGTGGCTCTGTGGGTAAGAGGGATAGCGAATGTATTTAGAACCATTTCATGATCCTTAAAAGGGTTAAAACTCCATAGCAGTTTTTTTTTTGTGTTATCTAAAAAAAAAACCTTTTTAACATTTTCGAACTGTGGTACGGAAGTCGCAGAGTGAAAGAGAAAGGGTCCGTACCACGACATATTCCCAAAGACAGTGGACGTTCACTGTGGTTAATCTTCACTGTGGAGACCGGCACACACATTTTTCTTTTAAAATCAACTTACTGGAGCTTTCTTGTCGATTGGTTTGATGACAAATTTCTTGTCATTGAAAGAGATGTTCCTGATTTCACTCCATGGGAAGCCTATTCTTGGTGTTAACCTGAAAACAACACACACAATCGTTTCAATTAGGAATAAAAATTAGTTAAAAATAAATTTCAAGTTTCTGGCATCAGCTGAGGAATGATATTCCTGGTTTTTCTTGGCACCCCTCCAGAAGACATATAATGGACAACAGGGATGCAAAAGAAACACAACCATTGGCAATTAAGGACAGGGAAGAAGAACTTCTCCAGAGCAAAAAACCAGGGGGTATTGCAGCGACCATGCCTTGCCTGTGTGGTATGATCACTGTCTCAGCATGTCTTGGTTACTCCAAAGGAAAGGTTACATCAACACTTTTGGAACAAAGCTTGCTGCTCTGTCTGCCTGTCAGAGCTTTCCTATTAGACAAGCCGCACTCAGGAAAAACCCATAAGTGCACAGTCTCCATCAGCAAAAATAAGAGAGTAATAATGCGAACTAGCTAAATCCATCACATTCTGGTTGAACAACTTGGGCAGAGCCTTTGTAAATGAAAAAACAAAAAAACATGTCTATTTCAATGCCAGTGTGTGTTCTGAGGCCCCATTTTGGAGAAGGAAACATATATCCACATCTTAACAAGCCTGTCATATGATGTGACTAATTAAGGAGTGGCTTCAGATGTGAAGAAAGGCACAGATATTGCAGCCTAGCTGTAAATCACAACTCAATACGCCAACCATCATTTTAAGGATGAAACACAGTAATCTCCGAGTTCGGTAACTGTCTCATTCCCAGTGGGCTTCCTAACAGATGCCCAAGGAAAAAATTATTACAGTAATAAATTGTGTGGATAATTTTCAAAAACACACAATGGAGGTGATCACTAGTACAGCCAGATTCTCTAGTATGCTTTGGCCAAATTAAAAAATAATCAGATTACACATTCAGCAACGGCTGAGATTCACGAGGAAGAGCTTGATCATACATCAAGAATTGTCTGAGACTGAAATAATTCACTAACTGTAAAGGGGTGGCTGGCCAAATAGTTAGAACATTAGGAGAAATCCGATTTCAAATCCCTGTCAAGATTTTGGAAGTTTATTTCTGTCAGGGGCAAAAATAAACACCCTAACCTGTACAGTCTGAGGTGACTGCACTAGCCATGAGCCACTAAATCCTCAGGCTCAAGACCGTCACTGTCCTACAGTTCTAAAAAGTGAGATTATAGTGACTGATTCCTATTAAATGGAGGAATGAAAAAAAGATTTTTTTGCTTCTTCAAACTGTCAGACTAGATTTCAAACAATATTAAAAGGACTGCCCAGGCGGGAGCAGAATGGAGGAATTAACTGTGAGCACCCAAAAGATAATCTATAAATGGGCAACACGAGTATTACTCAGCTGCTCACATATTACCGGAGCCCAAAAGAGAAAAAGGATAGTAACTCATCTGAAATGAGAAGTGGGGTCAATAAATTTGTTAGACTAGCTCATAATTTGCTGACCACTCTTCTTTTTTTTTAGGAGCTACTACTGCTGCTCTTCAGACGTTTAATAAGCTGAAGTATTTCATTTCAGAACAAATGATACATCCTAAAAGCCAGTCCATCTCAATATTCTTATCGTGAAGAATGTCAATATGTTTTCTTTCCTTTTTAATTTAACACAAAAATAGTACATGACAGTCACCTGCACACTGCCACAGAAAAGATGCCACATTCGCTAAAGTTTCACCTCAAGCTGTCTGTTAATGCTGTGCTACAGATAAAAATGACTGAACGTAAAACCAATAAAACTACAACAGCCAACAAAACTGCTTTGTGACGTCCCGTAAAGAAAATGCAACTATTTACTTGTTAACAGCTTAGAGTTGACTTACTTGTCCTCTTTTTCATAAACATTAAGACCTAAGGCATCCACACCCAACAGCAAGTCGGTTCCTTTTTTGTTCTTGATTTCAAAATAGTTCACTCCATACATCTCCAAGTCCTGGGCAATTTTGAGGTACTCTATCATTGCATCCTCCCTGAGAAACAAACAAAGCAAATTGGTGTTGCATGATAACCAGGAGTAAATACAACACTGTTCTAAAGCTGCATGGTGATATCTTTACAATCTGAAGAGGAAACTGGCTCAATTATTTTTTCCCACACTTTCGCCCCAAAAAGCCACAACTCTAAAACTTAGGATAGTGCACAAATCCCTATAAATGCTGCTCAACCTGCAGTTTTTGCACTGTCCAGTTTCTGAGAAGCACTCTAAAACTATTTTTGACCTATTTTCCAGTACGCAAAAGTGTGAATAACAAAGTATTATAGTTTGCTAGAAGATGTATTAGAAAAATATGATACCTTGGTTATCAACCAACTGTTGTATGGAGGAGAGGAGTGGGTCAAAGTGTCCAGCAACAATCAGATTTAAGTAGGATTCTAACCACACTGGGTCGGGAAAGCAGAGACTGGCCAGCAAGCACTGCAGAATCAGAAGCTGAACAAATGATTCATGACTATCCCCACCCAGGTGGTGGCATTATCTACAGATGGCTCTGTGCTGAGAGGCAGAAGTGCATTGGGGTTCATAGCAAAACAATGCATAGTGCAACAAAGCCAAGTATATGATACTACAACATCTAGTTTGAGAATGGAGGTGGAGGCTGTCACTGCAGTCATGCAATGGCTGCGCACATGTCATACCTGACTTACAGAGCATGTTAAGACACAACAGAATAAATATTCTCCTCTCTGACTAAATATACAACTTACAGCTATTAACAGTACAAGTTAAGCCTTACCTCAGCATGCCTCTGTGCTCTCCATACCAGCTTTTGATTCTTTCCTCCCACTGATCTTTAGTCAGCTTGTGTTGATCATATACTCTGCAAAGGCATCACACAGAATTGTTACTCTTTTCCTCGAACAACTTTTGCCTGTGAATTCTATTTTTATGATCAGTATTGAAATTCGCCTCTAATTTTAAATTATTTACCAATAAATCAAAACTCTCAGGAGGCTAAACAAAACTTATAAAATTCCTGAGCAAAATGATCAACATTAAATGGGTGACTTCAAAAAAAGGTGAAGCAAGAAGAGAAATGTTTAGAAAATCCTTGGTATAAACAGTTTTAAGACAAAGACAATGGAGATATTATGAGAAGAATGAGTAGAGAATCATCAAAATGATAAACAAGGATGCCCAAGAGAAACCCTCAAATAAACAATGAGAGGACCCCATTGTAATGGTAGAAAGAAACACTGCATCCTGACAAACATGTTGTAAAAGGTGACTAATTAGGAGTTTGATGAAATTAACTGTGCTGAGAAGAAAGGCACAGATATCACAGCCTAGCTGTAAACAAGACAAGACGTCAAATGTCCTGTAAGGGTGAATGAACAAGAATAATAAATAGCTAGATAATAACCTATAATTAAAAAAAAGATGACTGGCTACATCTGGTTGTGGATTTCAGAAGTCAGCATGCCCTTTGGTAAAGGACCCTTTCTTCTGCCGGTAGCGCATTGGGCATACAGGGTTAGACTCATATTTTAGACCAATCACAGTGGGTGATGTGATCAACATGATGCCCACCAGTTAGACTTCACAGAACATTAGCTGGTGTCCACTTTAGGCTGGGCCAAACCAGAAGTCAAAGACAATTTTGAAGAAAAAAATCAGCCTCAGTGTGGATTTGAACCCCAGATCTTCTGGCTAGGCAACAATATTATCACATTAAAATCTGCGGCTGGCACTTTGTGCCCTATATGCCTCAATGCACGGAAACAGGTAAATTAACGGAGACAAACTACCTCTGTGGAAGCAGCCGATCGCTGGCCAGAACACCAGGTTTGGGATTGTCTTCGCTGAGATCACCATACTTGGCCTGGCAGGCATAGGAAGCAAGTAACACAGCTGTTTCTGGAGGACAGTAGATTTCATCAGTCAAGATGGCTTCCTTCACTTGCAGGAAGAACATTTTCTAGAAAAGAAAAAAAAAAAATAAATAGATCATTTATAACATATGCCATAATTTATTTTTAGCCGCTTTCTGTCTTTTTGTACTGTGCTACAGGAAGGTATGCTGATCATGACTAGCAAGACCAGCTTGTGATAATAGTCTTCCACAGCAGATGCACGGATTGTCAAAAAGTTGTTGCTTTCACATGCATTGGACAAATTACATCTCCAATGCAGCTGTTATCCAATAACGCCTTTTCCTCAACCCCTTCCTGATTTCCCTATTCATGCAACATAAATCTGAGCACCCTATTTCCCTGAATCAATCTAAATATTGGCTACCACTGAGAGTATCTCCTATGCCACTACGTGCGGCGTGGATTGGGGCTAAACTAGATGGCTGGGACTCACAAGCAGCAGCTTCCGCATCTCCTGCAGCTTAGCTTGTGAGTCCCAGCCATCTAGTTTAGCCCCAATCCATGCTTGCCCGTAGTGGCGTGGGAGATACTCTGGGCAGTCCGCAATTTACATGTGACTGAGGCCCTCTTTTTGGCAGCCATAATATGTGGCCGTTATTCGGAAGATAAGACTAAATATCTATATCATTAATAATGTGCATCAAATGACAATGTATGGGATTCAGAGGTGCAAAACCATATGCAGTGATGCACCAGGACTTTCTGCAGTCAGACTAGAAACAGGTTCCCCACCCCCACTGGCGGTCTTGCCAATGAAGACAGGATTAATGTTTCTTCCCAAAGTCCAAGTCCATAAGCCTGAGAGACAAGGAATCAAGAGTCTCCATACAAATAATAAACCAGATCAGTAAAATAGGTGCACAAAAGTCCCTATAGGTGCACAAAAGTCCCTTAATTCGAAGGTGGACGAACAACAAAACTTTCCACTGAAGTTCACAGCCAATGAATATGAAGACTGAATGTATGAATGATTCAACCCAAAAACTGACATCACTGCACTTACGACATTCCCACCCTTCTTCAGTAGTCAACAGAGAGTTTCCATACCAGTGGTGCCAGTGACAACATCGAATGATAGGCTGGCTTATTCCCACACACTGCCTTTCAACATACCTGAGTAATTTCTTGGATAAGTTCTTCTGAAACATCTTCTGGGTAAAATTTTGCGCGGAATTTGAACTGCAGTGGGACTTCCTTTCTTTACATCCTGGCTCAGCACCTGTAGAAAAATTACAAATTAGCTAATCAACTCCAAAAGGCACACTATAAAAAAAAATCTGGCTTTGCTGTGCTCTTGTAAAATTATCCTTTCCTGTCATCTTCAACAATCATTTACAGCTAACTAAGTTTACTGATGGTAAAACATTTTGAAAATAGGGATTGTTGCAGGCCAGACACCTGAGTCCCAGCGTATAAAAATAATTAATACAATACAACTAGCAATGATCCATGGACATTTGCTAGGTCTTTTCTAAGCTGAAGTTAGCCCTGCTCTACAGGATATCACAAACCAACCCCAGCCGTTGTTGGCTGTTTGTTGTAACCAGCAATTTTGTTTTCAGTACTTTGCCACTGTTTTCTCAACAGTTTCATGTTATGAATACTTTCTAAAATCAATATAAAACAATCTGCAGTCGACTTTGAACCTAGGTATTTAAGAATTATGCATCTACATTCACAACCCTAATGTCCCTGATGTCATCAAGTTATTTGCGTATCCTTTACAGGACGTTGCAGAACCAACCCCAGCATTTTTTGCTGTTGTGGTTTTTCTAGGCAAATTTTACATTCAGTAAGTTTGCCACTGTTTTCTGAGTGGTCAGCTCTCGGTACCACTGTCAAAACCAACGCAAGATGAACGTCCGCAGCTGGGATCAAACCTGGCACTACTAAGCTCACTCGCAACACATAAGCCACAGACACTGACCAATCACTGAGAAGTGACAAAATCAAAAACTGTAAGGTGATAAATGGCACAATAACAAAAGGTTTTATTTCCTTACCATATATTAATGCATATGGTTAATTTACTCATTTAACTTTAACCAGGCTCTACAACCTTTACTGGTTATTATAACAGCTAAGTTATCATTTCTGAGCGTTCAATTTAAGCAAGGCCCAGCATTCATAATAAACATATGTACAGGTAGCATACCTTTTTACTGCGTTTAAGCTAGGTATCAAACCCTATATTTACGATCAATACAGGAAATTTGTCAACATCATGCCAATGCGCATCATCATATAATGCTAGAATCTATATATATAGAGTATATCATATATATCAAAATATATATATATCAATATATGCCACACACAACACACACACACAGCTAACTTACCTTTTTATTGAGTTTCAGCCAGGTGCTATAACCTTTACTGTCGATATACTGCAGTCCAAAAAACCATATTTCTCGCAGGCCAATAGTTTTCACGACCTAAGGAGATTACAAACACTGATGTTAAGTCATACATGATTCTTCTTCTTTCTTCTTCTGCCTTTCTATCCCCCAATGGAGCATAGGCCCTCAACCAACTCACGCCAAGTCGTTCTATCCTTCATAGAATCATACATGATTAGTTGCATTAAAAAGAGACAATCTACTTTTCTGGTCATATGCTGAGATGGGGAAAATGGGAGTATGTCACAACATTAAGAAAGATGGCAGGAAAGAGAGGAGACACTGGAGGTTTGGCATCATGGTAGAACATCTGTATCAGAGCTGATTGACAGTATTTCTGACAGCAGGCTGTGGACAGACAGGATACCCAAAGCTACATGACTATAAGTAGTAGTCATATTTCATAATCTTTTTCTTAGCTTTCACCGGCTGCAAACTGACAGAAAGTTCTGGTTGTTCACCCACTTCTGGACTTTGGTCTTGGTCTAGAAATTGAGTTTTGCATGCACAATCGTTTTACAGATCTGGTATGAAAGATGTTGGTTACTCGCCTATCAGAGGCATCCAGTATTTGTCTTTTACAGCCCCCCCCCCCCCCCCCCCCCCCCACAAAACAGATAATTAACATTTATAATAGCAAATGCTCTAGTTTTCTATACAACAGTACTAATTTACATTTAGAACTGAATATTCTTGATTTTAAATCAGCACAAATACCCACATCGCCACCACTGTTTTAAACTAATCACAGAAGTAATTATTTGAGGTCTTTGTTTTAAAGGTAATTAAGACAAGTTTATTACGTAAAGTCCAACTTGCAGATAGCCAGCTCGCTGCCGACGCTCTAAAATATCATGTTTCTAGCTAGGATTTGCTGATGCAAATTTACCATTTCCGGACAGAGTATAAAGTCCCACCACCCAGCTACTACTACTTCTTCGCATCCATTTGCTGTAAACTCTGACACAAAGTTTTGATTGTTCGCCACGTCTGGACTTGAGTCTTGCTTCAGAACTTGAGTGTTTTACAGATCTAGCTTATTTGTATGCAGACTGCTGGTTCTTGCCTTGCAGGCAGATCCACTCCAACTTTGAAGGAAGCCTCTAGTTAGTCAACTCTTACTACATGTTTGATAGGAAGGCAGTGGGTCTATTCTTGTTTTACAATGGGACCCCTAAAACCCTAATAGGAAGTCTAGCTACTGAGGTGCACGGTGCCACGCTGTGAGCAGTGGCATGTAGAATGTTTTTTTTAATCACGTGCCCATGACGGCTTTGTGTCGTGAACAACATTAAACACAGCAGATTGCCAATTACATGTACTTATGCAGCACTGTGTGTACAATGTGAGCTTTCATAACTGACTAACTGCATCACAACAGTGAGCTGCAATTCTGATGGACAGAGGTCAGGGCTCAAGTCAAGCGACTTAGAACTGAGTCCAACTTAAGTCATGTAATTAATGATGTGCGACTCATTTGGTGTTTTGTTGAGCTACTAGCAACTAGTAGCTTTAATGACTCGTCCTTCTTCTGTCTGCCACTGTGAGGTTTGGTGATCAAAATCACATTTCTTTCACTTTTATATAGTTAGTAAAAAAAATTTAAGGGGCAACATGTTCACATTGAAGCTGGAATGCCAACTAATGACTAACAAAAACTTGACATTTGTTGTAGTCAAAGCTTTAGTAATTATGTGCAGCACAAACAGTATTCATTAAACATTAGAGATAAATACTCGAAGTATTAAATGAGCTCATTAACCAATATGCTGTTTTAATTAGGCAGTCTATATTTTATACACGCATTTGTATTTTTAAATCAAGTAAGGAATAAGCAAAAAAATAAACTTGTTAGTTGCCAGGCAGAAAACAGTCAAGTCCATGCACTCTTCTGCTTCGCATTCATTTGCTGTAAATACCAGTGGGAAAGCCTGGTTGTCTGGCCACTTCTGGACTTTCTTCTGTTTTCTTCCAAGATGTGAATGGTGTGTGCTCATCCATTTTACAAATCTGTTTTTTTTGTGTGTGTGGGCAGATTCTTGGTTTCTTGCCTCTCAGCCTGATGTATTCTGACTTTGTATGGAATAAAAGTCCCTCACTGTGTAGTCTTTTATGTTTTATACAGGCATAGGAAACTAAGAAAAGTTTATCATGTAAACACAAGACAAATATCAAGCTGCCTCGTATAAAGCAGGTGCCCAGAGGCAAGTGCATGCATTTAGTTAACACCACTGACCTGGTCAAACAGCTGCTTCCCAGTTGTGCTGTGCTGGATGGCAAACTCCAGCTCAGCATCCATGGTAGTGACCCGGACATTGTGGTGCTGTAGAAAGAATGTCACAATTTAAACAATCTTACATTTTCAGGCAGTGTTGATAAAACAGAAAGAAAAACACAAAAAATATATATCTCTTGCTTATTCTTCTTCATAGCACTCATAAACTCCAGCAGAAAGTTTTAGTTGTTGGTTCCCTTCTGGAATTTAATAATGTTCCAGAACTTGAGCTTTGCATGCACACCTGTTTTACAGATCAGGCCTATCTGCATGCAGATTGTTGGTTCCTTGGCTCTCAGGCAGATGCATGATGACTTCATAGGAAACAACAGTAATTAATCACATTTTATGATGTGTTGGGGGCAGTGGATCTATTCCCCCCCCCCTACCCCCCAAAAAAAAAATGAAATACCTCTTGCTACCAACAGACAAGGAACTCTCAGTATCACATCTGCATGAATGAGTCTCCAACACACTTTAGTCTGCATCTTCAACAAGCACTCCTATATAATTCTTTAGCAAATGTGTTATCGATGTCCGCTAATAACAAAAAATGATCTCTTGAATCTCGACAAGTTTCCTTTCTAGGGCATATTTTTGTGTGTGGCCATTTTCTCCCATTCTCTACAACCTTCAGACTTCAATTTGCTGTTGTTGCCAGTACTTGTATGGCTCTACAGCCCTTTTAATATTACATTTTCCCTATCTAGAATCCAGCACCTTGTAGAATATTTCTAGTACAGTAAAACCTTGTTAATATGGACTCACTTTACAAGAATACCAGATTAACATGAACAGAATAGTATTTTTTAGCCACTGGTAAGCATACATTTTTTTCTTCATACAAATGATTTTTGGTCGTTTGGAATTTGTGTCAACAAAGTATTGCTGCATTTAATTGTCATGAGGTGAACTTAATTACAGAATCTGAATTGTCTGCCAGAAAGGGGGAAAGAAATTTAAAAGCAACAAAAATCAAAAGATGCACCTGAAATTTATGAATGAGGTAACAACCGTCGCCTAAGAAGAGTTCACCAATCAGCTTGCCAGTACCCCCGTGTGGGTTCCGGGGCCCCATTGTGGGGAAAACAAGAATAGACCCACTGCTTCCCCAAAAGCATGTCGTAAGAGTCGCCTAATTGGGGAGCTTCCTTTGAAGTCGGAGTGCATCTGCCGGAGAGGCAAGAAACCAACAGTCTGTATTCAAGAGAATGAGATCTGTAAAACTGATGCACACGCAACACTCAGGTTCTGGAGCAGGACTGCAGTTCAGTAATGGACGAGCAACCAGAACTTTCCGCCAGAGTTTACAGCTGGTGAACACGAAGAACTTGCCAGTACAGACCAGCGTAGATATTGTATCACCAATGAATGAGCTTAGAAAAAAAATAGTCTCCATCAAGAGAGAAGCTCTTGCAAAGACACCAAATCCTGTAGCAGAATGCAGTAATCTCAGATGGTGTGGACTGCCCACAAATGGACATGTTGAAGGTAATGTAAAACTAGGTTTATAGTTGGCTGCAATCTAGTAATGCTAGACTTCATTAACAATGGTGCAATATGTGTAAAAATTCCTAGCATTAGAAAGCAGACAAACAGATATGCACTTTGGAGAGGTGCAAGAAGACCAGGCAATTATGAATTGCAAAGTATATGAAGACTATGTCCAGAAGGAATGTTACCGCTATGTTTATTCATGTGGTGGGTAACCTGGTTAGGGAAATATAGCATAGGATGGGCGAAATGAAAGATGGAGAGAGGATAGAGAATATGAATAAACAAGTTTTATTTTCAAAGGGTTATAAACTGGATATGCAGGCTCACTTTACATCCTCCAGTCCATCCAACCACTCATCTCTCACAAATAACTGCATTTTATGTATCAAGCATGTTGTGGGTGTGTGTGTGTGTGAGAGAGAGAGAGAGAGAGAGAGAGAGAGAGAGAGAGAGAGAGAGAGAGAGAGAGAGAGAGAGAGAGAGAGAGAGAGAGAGAGAGAGAGAGAGAGAGAGAGAGAGAGAGAGAGAGAGAGAGAGTGAGAGACCAGTAATTTAAACAATATCTGAACTTAAAATATGACAACTTACTGGTCGTGGCATGGTGAAGGTTTCTGATAAGTTTCAAGCAGAACAGCTTGACTCCTGAGCCACGCTCTAAACCCACCAAATACTGTCAAACTTAATACTGCAAGAAGGAATGAAACAACCACTTAGATAAACATGTGGAAATCATTAAATGCTTACTCAGCTAACAATCATATACTCATGTGGTTACATGCTGACCATATTGACATCCTAGCACATAGATCTGACCCATCTGTGTTCTGTCCTGTGATGCAGCAGCCATCTCAGTCTTTTTTCTGCTGCATGGGGTCTCAGCACAGTAGCACGCTCCCTCTTGCTGCAGTGAGGATCTGGTTTTATTGCAGTTTTATCCATACACCTGACATGATTATCATGCAGGAAGTATACAGTCGTCCTAGTGGGTCCTGCTTGATAGGGAAGAGGCCCAGAATGCTCTTACGCCAGATGCTCTTTTGGTACCAGAGGACAGCTAAACTAAATATAAATCAGTGCGTAATGTGTTTCTTGGTACCTAAAAAGTTGAACTTTTTAACATTTCAGTCCAATATATCTGCTTCTATTTTTCTGTCCTCCAATTCACATTAGAGCATGTGCCCTCAACCAACACATGTCCGGCCCTTTTGTGGACCTGTTTATAATTTGTGGGGCTTTCAGGTAAAGTTTTCTACTAGTTGAAGTAACCAGCCCTAGTCTCATCTAATGATGTATTTGGCTACCTTTTTTTGTGATCTGCATATTTCCACCCAACACATCTGATGTCAGTTAACATATGCTTGGGTGTGTGTAGGTTTATTCCCCCTTAATGGAATCAGGCCCCCCGACCTACACTATTAGTTAATTAGCAAGGATCTATTATTAATTACAGGGGTGTGGGAGTCAGTAGGTCTCCCCCCCCCCACCCCCAGCAGTTTAATTGTCTGTCCTCAAATGGAGCAAGTGTAGACCTATTTGCCTAGGTATTAGTGTGAACGAAAGCATAACAGCAGTAACATTAACCTACAATACATCATATGAGAGTTGAATAAAGTGGGTTGATTAAAGACGTAAAGGAGATTGTCTTTAGCTATAAAAGACAGAGCTACAGGAACACTCATACTGGACAAACGGAGATTGTTTCCATCCTTTCACTTCACTCTCTTCTCTACTGTTCATTTTTCTTCGTGTGGGGGTTGGGGGTTTATGCCTTTACTACCTTGATTGACATTCTAGTTATCAGGCTGTCTCAATGTTTGTCACATTCAATGCCAGAATCTTCTGCTGACTTAATAATTTACTTAGTTCATTTTCAGCGCTCAATATTAGCAATTCTGTCACACCGTTTCATTACTTCTATTCTAAAGGCTTCTTTTTCTTTCTTCTTTTTTATGTTTGTTTTTACAGCATTGGGTGTCAAAGGAGATATTAGGTCCTGCTCGTCAGGCTGCTCCGACCACAGACATACAGTGGTGCTGTAGATTTTCTCTGATGTTATCTTGGTCTACCTCTTGCTCTACGTCCCTCTCCTCTTTTGGTATAGGACTTGTATGGTATAGCATCAGACGGCATTCTCTAAAAGTGGGCAAACCCTCTGATTTGCTAAAAGCACTTTATTAAAAACCTTTTCAGTTGTTTTCCATGTTTCAGCTATTTACAGTAATAGTAATTTGTATCCTGAAGTATCTTCCTAAAGAAGGCTCATTAAAATCATTTCTACTCAACCTCTTGTATTGATTTCCTCCACAAATATTTTTCTTTTTTAGTAATTATTATTAACGTTTTTAAAATGAGAAATAAAATTGAAACATCAATCCAGAACCAAAATTGTCTTCGTTGCAAAATCATGTTTGCAATGGACACCCTTTCTTCTCCGAGGTGACCTTTCAATGCCGTTTTTAATGTGACAATATAATCTCTACATCTGTTCTGCATTACTTTAATATACATTTGACTCATTATGCCTGTTTAATAGCTCTCATAAGACTGTCTACTTCCCATCACAGAAGTTTACATTTACATGACCTTCAATTGTCCTTTCAAGCACAATCTACTCCCTCCCCTAGGAACACTCCTGATTTATAATGCCCTAACCTTGAAATTAAAGCTTCCCATTTATAAATAATAAAAGTATACTATATACAACATAAAGTAGTCTTGGGAAAAGCTGACAGTAAAATAAACCAAATATCTGTAAGCAAATTCAGAAAAGGCCCACACACACACACACAAACTAGTCATAGAGAGGCAGTAAATCTTCCCAGTTTATTGAATTAAATGATATAATGAAATGGTAAATAATGAACTGGGAAGTCTGAATGTCACAAGACATTTCTTATCAGTAATACGGATACTGCAGTAATATTATATAACAAAATTTCAACATCATAAATGTTATAATCTACATCTCAAATTAATCAACTGTCATATTTTTATGAAAATATTTTGCCTGATTCGCAAATTTAATTACCATTACTTTGAAGGTTTGAAACAGAAAAGAAGTTAAACATCTTATCTCAAAGATGAAAGTCATAATATGAATTAACCATATTACATTTAATTTTACAGGATACTCAGCTCACAGATTTTAAATGAATGACCCCCCCCCCCCCCCCAAAAAAAAACCTGTCCAAATAAAGATGTCCTGACCCATGCAACACAGATGTTAGAATAAAATTAGACCCAGACAATCTCGGGATTTGTGTATGTTCTCAAAATGATGTAAACGTAAGTGTGGTGAGAACAAAACTGAAAATAGTGATTAAAATTAAATTATTTATAAATAAGTAGGGATCCTGCATTAGCAGGGTGCTGATAAATGCTAAGTAGCTGCCATTGTGAATCATCAATGACTGCCAGTATATCACTCCCAACTTGAACTTGAACTACTTACCACTCAAACAAACTACTCCCAAATGTCACTGAATTCCACCACTATTAAGATTTATAACTACATTTGAGACTACACTACACAGCAGCTATGTAGTAATTCTGTACTGTGTGTTGTATCTACTTTATCACGTACTGCTTAATTTAATTTTACATCAGCCAGACTCCCTTTTTTTTCAAAATCTACAAAAAGGTTCGTAGGAAAAGTCACGCCACTCATTAATATTCTATGCCTAGTGGGCGTGGCTGGCAAGTGGAAGAAACGAAAAAGCTAGCACTTCAGCGACTTCACGAGCGAGAACCTCACAAACCTGAACCAAACCCTTGTTTTTTCCTGCTAACACTAACAAGGGTTGCCTCCAGGGATGCCAATGCTGGGTTTTTCCCCCAAGATCTTGGTTTTTTAGTTGCCGTCTTGGTTTCTTGGTTTTTATTTTGAAAATTATTGAAATTCTTGGGTTTTCCGTCTTAATGATGGAAAAAAAAAAAAAAACTACAATTTATAAATATTCTAACAAGAATAATGTGTGTACACATATCTATAATAGTTTTACCCGCAAATTATTTTTTGGAATTCCTACAAACACTTAAAATAAACTACATTAATGTAACAGAATACAAAGGTTAACTCCAGGGCTATTCAGGAAAAATGTAGCACCAAAGCAGATTTACGATCCCCAAGTAGTGTCCCTTAGTAACAATACTAGGGGCGGAGAAGCAAAAATAGATGAAGCCTGGGACTTTTTGATCGTAAACTTTGAAAGAAGGGACTTGACATTTAATTATTGAAGAAAAGTTTGGGAGGCGTTTCCTCCCTTCTAGGGGTTATTGACTTGACATTGTAGTCTCATTGAATTGAAAGAAAGCAGATTAGCAGAAACCACTAGGTAAGGACCTTCAGTTAAATTTTCTCTAGGTTTTTTTTTTCTGTGTTGTGGTTTGTTGAACTGTGCTATCAAAATATAACTCTGATTAAAACCTTGTTGAATTTAAAATGAGTGAACAGATTACACCATTGAAGAAAAGAAAATGGTATGCTCAGTGTTTCAAAGAGAATGGCAGTATTGGTACCAATTGAAAAGCATAAAAGATGGCTCGAAAAATGTAAAATATGACATTTTATCCGCTTTTATGACCAATCTCACTATTTTGCCTCACTCGTCAGGAGCGGTTGAACGCATATTTTCCCTGATGATCTGTGAAAATTCTCTGAAAGCTGACACGTAAAAGATATTCTTGCAAGGCAAGCAATAGAAATAGCGACTGGTCATGGTAGAATTGCTAAAAGAATTGCAAGTGTAGTCAAAGATATTTAAACAGAATGAAACACAGAAAGAGACGGTGACTTGAAGAAGGAGAGCTGTTAGAGTAACAGTTTAATAAAGGTGAGTATATGTTCAGTTTCATAACTATAAAATACTTTTTGCACAGTGCTGGGTTTTTTATTTTATTTTTTGTTCATATCTTGGGTTTTCGTCAGCCCCATCTGGGTTTTTGACAAAAATCTCATTGGCAGCCCTGGTTGCCTCCCTACAACATTCCTGACATTTGAAGTCGTTACCCCGTCTAAAAAAAAACTAAGCCCAATCATTCATCGACACCAAGAAAACTCACACAAATAAATGACCATTATTAATGTCTCACATTTTCAGCTTCTAATATTTATATTATAATCTAGGAAAAACAAAGGGTTTTTCTTGTTAATTACTAATCATCATTATTTTTATTCATTCCTCTACCTTCCTCAATTCCCTCTCAAGATCCTGAGGCGTTTTTTTGTGAATCGGCAGTTTTTTTTAAAAACTTCGTCAAAATGCGGCTTCTTCTGCGTTACAAGTTGCTGACAAGTGTACAGTTAAATTACTTGTGAATTAATTCATAAAGGATGTACTGAAGCGTGAAACAGAATAACGAATGACTCCGCTTAGATTAAATGAACTGAAATAGTACCTGAGGGTTCTCAGAACGATCTTTTGTGTACATAGATGGCCGCCACTGGGTGGGGACTCAATACATGGATCCCTCTGGGAGCAATTGTCTGCGGCCTGCCAGGCTCGCGCTGTATCATCAACCTTTACTATATCATATTTTCTTTAAATGTGTTTAGTAGGAGATTATATCTTCAGATACTTATGAAGTGTTATAAATATAAA